CTACTACTACAACTACTACTACTACTGCTACTGCTACTGCTACTGCTACTGCTACTACTACTACTACTACTGCTGGTAACCACGATGCTACTAATAATTTTGATGATGCTGATGATGGTGATGATGCTTATGACGGCGATGATGATGATGATGATGATGATGCTGATGCTGACGGTGATGATGATGATGATGATGACAATAATAATTGATCGTTGTGATATTACGCGAAAGGGAGAAAGAGAGACAGAGAGAGAAGAGAGAGAGAGAGAAAAAGACACACACACACATACACACAAACACACAAACATGAGAGAAAGAGGAGGGTACTCCTCGGGGGCTCCTCTTGGGGCGGTCTCCGGCCCTCTTGTGACCCTTTTGGGGCCCTCTCGGCGCTGTTTTTTGGGCGCCTTGTGGTTCCTCCGAGGCCATCAGGCTCACATCTCACCAAGAGGTGCGGAACCCACCAAGTGAGAGAACACCTTGAGAAGTGATTTGGGGGGGCTCTTGGAGACTGCGCGAGGGGCCTTCGGGCCCTCTCTGGGCCTTCGGGGCTCGAGTCTGTTCGGCCTCCCTGGTTTTTGGAGGGGCCTTCGGAGGCCTCCTGGGGGGGGGGGGGCGTGCTGGCGGTCTCGGGGGCCATCTCTTTGGGGGGAGGGCGCTTGGGGGGCCCCTTCGAGTTGCCCCTCTTGGCTGGAGGGCCCCGAGGAGCCACGGGGCCACAGATCCCCCACCTTTCCCAGACTCGAGGGCCACGACGGCCAGGCAGGCAGGAGCCACTGACCACGAGGCGCACGACACGAGCCGCCGAACCCGCTCTTGAAGGCCAGGTCGCGTGTTGCTGCAGCCTTCTCTGGCTCCTCGGTTGGTCAGATCGAGTGCGTACATCCCCTTCCTTTCGAGCCCGACCTGCGCGACTCGCTCTCGCAGCATCGCCCCGCAGAGCGAGATGGCAGCTTGCACGGCAAGCCCGACTGCGTGGTTGGTTGTGCTATTTGGCCACATCATACCCACCGCAGCTGCCCTCCAAGTGCAGCAGCGCACCAACACTTCCTCTGAGTCCAGCACTACCTGGACGTTGCTGCTCAGCTCGACCTTGGGCAACACCAACATTGGGGATTTCTCCAGTGGCTCCACGTACGGCAGCGAGAGCAGCTACACCTGGTCAGACTATCGGATCGGATACACTGGGTCGCAGCTCCAGGCTATCGGCATGTCTGGTATGCGCGTCACTACCGCATCTGGACGTTCAGTTGAGCATTTCTGGACCTTGAGCACCTCGGGTTTCGACAACACGTGCACGAGCTGCAATTGCGGCGGCAACAGCCTCGGAAGCGACTACTACTGGCACGGTGGACGGGCTCGACGCATTTCGGGCTCAAGAAGGAGGCCGACGTGCACAGCTCGTGCAACGTCGGGGGCTTGGAAGAGGGCAATGCCTGGGGTCATTTTCACCGCCGGCATATCAACACGGGCGTCTACTTTTTCGGCGACAGTTGCATCAATTACAACGAGTGGGGCGAGCGGTACTACTTCTGGGGCGCCCTTACGTCGCCGACGCCCTACCCGACGCCCTACCCGACGCCATACCCGACGGCCTTCCCGACGCCCTACCCGACGCCATACCCGACGCCCTACCCGACACCCTACCCGACGTCCTTCCCGACGTCTTACCCGACGCCCTACCCGACACCCTACCCGACGGCCTTCCCCACGGCCTACCCGACGTCTTACCCGACGCCCTACCCGACACCCTACCCGACGGCCTTCCCGACGTCTTACCCGACGCCCTACCCGACGCCTTACCCGACCGCCTACCCGACTGCCTTCCCGACGTCATTCCCGACGCCTTACCCGACGGCCTTCCCGACGCCCTTCCCGACGGCCTTCCCGACGCCCTACCCGACGGCCTTCCCGACGCCCTACCCGACCGCCTTCCCGACGCCTTTCCCGACGCCCAGCCCAACGCCGAGCCCGACGTATCCTGTGGGTTGGCCGACGCCACATCCAACTTTTCTTCCTGGAGCTCCCATGGCAGGAGGAGCTGGCGGGGGCGTAGCTGCCACTGGCGACCCCCACCTTCAAAACGTTCACGGCGAGCGGTTCGATCTGATGAAACCAGGCAAGCATGTTTTGATAAACATCCCCCGCGGAATGAGCGCTGACGCCGCATTGCTTCGGGTGCAGGCCGATGCGCGCCGATTGAGTGGACTCTGCGCGGATGTGTACTTCCAAGAGTTGAACGTCACAGGGTCTTGGGCAGAGGCAAAGGAGAATGGAGGGTATCATTACAGCGTGCCGCAAAGAGATGTGGAGGCTCCGCAATGGGTTGCGCTTGGCAAGGTTGAGTTGAAAGTCGTGGTTGGACGTACGGAGAGTGGCCTCCAGTACTTAAATGTATACGTCAAGCATCTAGGGCGAGCAGGGTTTGCAGTTGGAGGTCTCCTGGGGGAAGACGACCACAAAGACGCAATGACTCCTTCAGCGTCCTGTGCCAAACATACGCAGCTAGCTCAGTCGAGTGGCGGGGCACATTCCTCTGCGCTGTGGGTTGCAACGGCCACTTTCGCGTGACAATACGGGCCACCATGACATACGAAGGTATGACATATGAGGGCCTTCCTTTTGTTCCGACGCTTGCTGTATCGCGTACGCATGTCTTTCAACCTATACTGTGGCATTGTCATGTCCACCGGAAAAATCGGGTTGCCACTCTGCGCTGTCACAGGCCCCCGCTGCTCGCCGGGTTGGTCTTGCTCGTGGAGCTCTTGTTGCTTCGCTGTTCCTGCTGCTGCTGTTATCATCTGCCCCCGTCCGCCCCGCCCCTGCCCCCCACGCATCCTGCACCTTCTCCTCCTCCTCCCCGTTTCCTCCACCTCCCTCCTTCGTCTTCCCCCCTCTTCCCATAAACCTCCCTCCTCCTCCTCCTCCTCCTCCTCCTCCTCCTCCTCCTCCCTCTTCCCTCCGTCTCCTCTTTCCTCCTCCCTCCTTCTTCTCTTCCTCCCTCCGCCTCCTCCTCCTCCTCCTCCTCCTCCTCCTCCTCCTCGTTCTCCTCCTCCTCCTCCGCCCCCTGATCGTTGTCACTCCTCCTCCTCCTTCGCTTCTGGCCTCCCTCCCTCCCTCCTTTCCCCCTTCCTCCTTGCCCTTTCGATCCCCCCTCCGGTGGGCGGACAAAAAGTGTCCACACTTGTCGCGCCAAGACAACTCGTCGTCAAATCACGTCGAACGAATATGTATACCCCCCTTTCCCCCAACTCAAAGTTGGCGGGGTTAGGCGGCAGGCCGCGCGCCAGGGACAAAATGTGGACACTTCAACTTTGGGTTTTGGGGGGGAGGGGTGCGAGGCAAGTGCATCATGCTGTTGCGGTTGCTATCACGTCGCAGTGTCTTGCCGCCCTGGGTGTGGACACTTTTTGTCCGGGCACCGTCCGGGTTAGATGTGTTTGGTGGTTTCATGGTGCCATCGTGCTTACATGTGTGCGTGCATTTAAGTGTGTGTGTGTGTGTTGGTGCGTGCTTATGCGTCGAGCACGACACGCAATTAGATGACGATGTGCGCGTATACGGAACCACGGGACACCTGCAGGACCACCGCGGGACAACCCATGGGACAACCCGCGGGACCACCACTGGACAACCCACGGGGCAGCCCTGGGACAACCGTGGGACTACCCACGGGACAGCCACGGGACAACCTACATGGCCACTTCGAGACAGGGTCTGGGGGCCCACCACCGTCTGGCTCAAATCACGAGGCCGACGCCGGGCTCCCCCGCCGTCGTTTCCGACGACGCGGAATTGGTAGAACTGGTCATAGAGCTGGTCATAAAACTGGCCCATTAAAAATGGGGTCCGGCGTAGAACTGGTCGCATTTTGAAGAAGAATTATTGATATTCTTAAATTCTCTTTAATTGGACCGACCAGTTCTAGGCCAGACCCTACTTTTAACGAACCAGTTCTATGGCCAGTTCTATGACCAGTTTTATCAGTTCTATCCAGTTCTATGCCCTCGCCGTATTGTAGCACCAATCAAGAGCATAAGAACCACGTCCCTCTTCCTCATTCCCTCCCTCCCATGAATCGCTCCACCTCACTCCTCTTTTCTCTCTCCGCCCTTCTCCCTCCGCTGTTCCTTCCTGATCCCCCAGCCCTCCTCTGACCTCCTCAGCAGCATGTCATGATACCTCCTCCCTCCTCCTCGAGGCTGCGGTGGCCTAGGGGGCCTGGGCGGGAAATAACAATACTAGTGATACAAAGAAATGAGAGGGGAGGAGGAGGAGGAGGAGCAGCAGCAGGAGCAGGAGCAGGAGCAGGAGGAGTTGGAGGATTAGGGGGAGGAGGAGGAGGAGGAGGAGGAGGAGGAGGAGGAGGAGGAGGAGGAGGAGGAGGAGGAGGAGAACGGGGACATGACGAGATCGAGAGAGGAGTAATAGAGACGAGAAGCGCTGCAGAATTTTGATGTGGTGGTGCTGCCAGGTACGCAGCAGCGCCAGAGGGACGACGCGATCCCCGTCACGGCCATCCGCACGATGAGGCATGTGGCCTTCGGATGGGGCTGGCGTCGTGGAAGGCTCACGAACAAGAGCTGCGGCATCACGATCATGATTGGGAGGGGAGTTCGACGCAACCATGTTCGCCAGGTACTCAGCCCTCCGCCGAAGCTGGGCATCACTGGACGGGCGGGAGGGATCAAGCTGGCGACGGCGCGGACTCCGATGCTCGTCTTTGGAGTTTATCTCGCGCCCTCTGGGACCCAGGAGGAGCGCACGGAGTCCATGCAGCGCATCCTAGGTTGGATCACAGACGAGGTGGCGAAGGCAGGCAACAGGTACCTGGTGGTGATCGCTGGGGATTTCAACGAGCAGCTGGGCTTCAGCGACATAGACGAGGTGGCTGGACGGCATGGACGACATCGGCGATCAAGACAAGTTGAACAATTACGCTGGTGGGCGGCCACAAACTACCTTACCGCTGCCAACACGCACTTTCGCCTGCCCGCCAGCTACTACGGGTCAGAGACGAACAGCTGGATTGATCATGTTTTCGTCCCGTCCACGGCGATGGGTTTTGTGCCAATGATCAGGATGCGCCCCGATCTGATGCGCACGCTATCACCTTTCCCTACAGCTGAGCTTCGCGACCACTGCCCAATGGAGGTCCACATCACTTACGAGCTGAGTTACTCGCCGCTGCGGAGCGCCACGGGGAGAGTGGATCGGGACTCCCTCATGAGGTGCTTGACTAAGGGCGAGCGGAGGCGTGATTTCTGCGAGAAGGTCGAGTCCAACCTGAGCGCAGTCGAGGCCGAGTGGAACTTCTCCGACTCCGACCCTACGCCTGAGACCAAGCACCAGCTATTCACGAAGGCGACCCGCGACGCCACTCTCTCTGTCTTCCCGTCCGCGAGGAGGCTGGGCATGGAGTACGAGCATCTGGTGGAAGAAAGGGTTCAGGCTCTGCGGGCTCGGGCTCAAGTGGCACACGAACTAGCAGAGCTGCAGGCTGGCCGCAGCAACGCAGACCACAACCACGACTTCGAGCGCAACGTGATGGTTGCAGAGGCGCGGCTACGGCGTCTCACAGGCGAGTGCAAGGCACGTCGCAAGGCTCATCAGGAACATACTTTCTACGAGCGGATCGAGGAGCTGAGGGAGGCTTGGAGGATTCGCGATTTTCCCAGAGTTTATGCACTCAGGGGACGGCTCGCTGGCAGAGGGAAAGGCATTCGCAAACGTACATACATTGCTGCCAACTGCACATTGGGAGCTGAGGAGTGGAAGGAGGGGGTGGCGAAGGAGGGGGTCGCTGGCGGCATGCGCGCGCTGGCGACCTCCTGGGACCAGCAATTGACGAAGGCCAATATGAGGGGCGAGTACCTGCGCGACAACGGAATGTGGAGAGACGGTGTACACGACAACTCTCTACATGATGAAGTTCGGGATGATTTGAAGGCGATCAAAAAATACTGCCGTCGGGCGCCGAGGAGGAAAGCATTCCCCGAGTGGGGCGTCTGCACAGAGATGCTCGCTATATGCCTGGCGCCCATGGAACGGATCGACAGCACGGGCAGGGGGCTCGGCTACGTGGACAATGCGCCCATACAGATGACGAAGTTCGAGCAGTGCCTATGGGACCTGCTAAAGGACACGCGCATCAAGAAGACCTTCGCTCCATCAGGCAAGCGCACTCGCGCCATCGGGCTCGACAAGAACAAAGGGCGGGCCGACCTGAAGGGGCAGCGCGTGATCCACTTGTATGACCATCTCTCGCAGGCGTGGCACAGCGGCCTCCGACGACAGCAACTACCTGGAGACTGGCCTGAGTGGGCGCACGGCAGCTTACCCCATCGCGGCAGGGAATCTGCCCTGCTGGCGCTGCAGTCGGCATGCTGGCGGCTCAGGGATGCCAACTTCTCGGTTGCGCAGCAAAACTGGGATGCGGCTGGGGCCTTCAATGCCATCTGCTGGGAGCATTGGCTCACGCACGCAGGTGACAGGCTGCAGGCCGCGGACAGGCCCTTCTTCGCGCAACTCCTCTCCGACCTATGCGTCACCGTCTCGGCCCCTGATGGCGAGCTCGAATTCACCCCGCAGGAGGGAGGCGCCATGGGCAGCAGCTTGATCCCGTGGGGCTTCGTGGCCACCTACTCGGTCGCGGTCGGCAACGCCTTTGACGAGCTGAAGGAGCAGGGCGAGAGCTTCAACTGGCTCGAGACGACGATCCCCGATAGGGACGGCGAGACCTTCGACATCGGGGCGGCGGTGTTCGTGGACGACGTGACGCGCATCGCCCCGATCCCCAAGCACGCCACTGGGAACGACATTGTCCGCAGGCTCAACCGCACCACCAGGGCGATCAACGCGGAGATTGGCAAGCAGGGCGGAGGACTGAACGAGGACAAGACTGTCAGCACGCTCGATCTACGGGGCCTTGGTTCGAATACGGCGACGAGGAACGTGGCAACGTCTCGGCAACTGAAGGGGACGGTGGCCAAGTGCGCCAGGTTGCTTGGACCGATTGTGGCGGCGGGCCTGTCCGTGCATGAGGAGATCAAGGCCAGGGCGATGGCGGCGAAGCGTGGATGGTCCAACATGGGCTCGACTTGGTACCACGAGATCCAGAAGAGGTGCGCCCGCTTGCAGTTCATTAGCTACGTATACGAGACCGCCCTCTCGGCGCTGCACGTGCTCCTCGTCGCGCAGAGCCAGATCGATCGGATCACCACAGTCCTCACAGAGCTCCTGCGGTCGTTGATGGGAGGGCGCTTTACCAAGTGGAGGGACGACGGCTCAGCGCGCACCATCACGAACGCCAAGGTGTGGGACTACTGGGAGCTCGCCAAGCCAGAGATCGAGCTGAGGGTGAGGGGGCTGCGGTTCCAGCGCATGGCGAAGTACCCCAAGGCCCACGAGCAGGTGTTCGCGGCGGTCTTCGGGCAGCGCAAGTTCGAGGAAGAGATTGGGATCTGCAGGCTGGGAGATGACGGATGGCCTATCTCAACCTCTACGCCGTGGTGCCTACAACTGGAGAAAGACTTGAGGGAGATGGGCAAGGTGAGCGGGGACTGCCGCGACATGTGGGAGATGCTGCTGTCGGCTCCTGGAGGGCTGCTGGACCTGTTCTACGAGGGCGACGTGCACGACCAGTTCATTAGGCTGGATTTGCGTGCTATGCGCGCGGCATCCTTCGCCGTGCAGATACCCCCACCTGGCCTCGCGAGCGCGGGGGTGGACGGGGCAGAGGCCGCTCAAGACGAGTGGATCGCGCCCCCGCCCGCTGAATTTGGTTGCAACGAGACGGTTGATGGCACGATGTGTGGCAAAACATTCCACTCCTTTGCTGCTCTTCAGGCTCATCGTCGCATCGTCCACGGGGCACAGCACGAACTTCGACGGTTAGTGGTTACGAATCAATGCCCCTGGTGCTTGAGTTGTTTTCCTACGAGGGAGGGGGCGATGCAGCACGTATCTCGAGTGTCAGGGGGATGGGTATCGCGAGGAGCGAGGCGAGTACGGCGAATGTGTATGGTCGACCACTCTCCCTGGCATCGCGAGCCGATCGAGCCCCATGGCCTCCAATGTCCCGCCTGCGAGCGCTCCTTTGTCCATTTGCTCGAGCTCCAAGTACATACTCGGTCACATCATGAGGGCCCCACTGGCCTTTCTCTTGCAGTGGACAGCGATGAGAGCAGCTGGAAGCACCGCAGGCAGCGCACCGCCCGTCAAGCCGATCCAGTTCCTGTCAGGAGGGATTCAGAAGGGCACGGCGACGAGGAGGGAGCGCTCGGCGACCATGGAGGCAGTGAGCGAGGCGGCCGCCCCAGACTCGAAGACGGCGAAGCAGGTGAGGGAGGACGGCGTCGAGCAGGAGAGGAAGGCACCAGAGGCGGCCAAACCAGAGGGGGCGACGCCCACGGGCAAGGCGAAGGCGGGCGGCAAGAAGACGAAGAAGCTCGCGACAGATGGTGGCACGAGGCCTGCCGCCGCCAGCTCCAGCGGGGTCTCCGACGGGATGGTCGTCAGGCTGCAGAAGGGGGTGCTGAACACGATGCAGGGGCAGCGCGGCCTGGAGGGAGCGGTGTACGACTTCCGCCTGGCGCCAGTGAACAGCGTCACCGTGGAGGCGGCGGGGGCGAGCGGCAAGGAGTACAACGAGGCGGTGGAGTCCAAGGCTTACGCCCCGCAGGAGCTCGGCAGCCCGCACGTCCAGATCGCGAAGAGCGTGATCAACAAGCTGGCCGTCGCGGACATGGGCAACGGGCAGCAGGTCAGGCTGGCGCAGTGTGTGATGTCCCTCATGAACACGGCGCTGGAGGAGTCCCCAGCGCTCACGGGCGAGGTCTTCAAGGGATTTCGACTCAAGCGGGCGAGGTTCAACGAGCAGGTGCAAGCGACGGGTTGCAGCAAGATGACGACGGCCATCAACCCGCACGCGCAGCTGCCGCTGGAGAACCCCAAGTGGCTGAGCAAGCACGGCGTGGGGAAGAAGAAGGCGAACGAGGAGGAGATCATGGAGAGCGACGCGGAGGGACCGCGGTGCCTCGCCGACATGCCGCTGATGCCGATCTTCGTCAGGGACGTGCGGACAGCGTTCCTCACCATGCTGGAGGCCGAGGGCGCGGCGCGGTCCGACGGCCAGCCCCCAAGGCCCAGGCTCGAGCGAGATCTGCAGAAAGATCTGGGCCAGATGCTGAAGCTGAGCTGACGGCCCTGAGGCAGCAGGCGGCCAGCGTGGCCGCGATGGTCGCCGCGACTGGCAGTGAGCGAGGAAGAGACCTCCTGAGGGCCCTTGAGAGCAGGGTTGCCCGACTGGGGTCGCTCCGAAGGAGAGCCCACAGTCGGACATGACGCGCTGCGGGTCCCCATCGCCCCCGGGCTGTTTGGCGGGTTATGGCCCTGGCGGCTCCGTCCAACAGCTCGGGGGTGGGTGGGATCCGCGGTGCTTGGATGCAATCAGCGTCGGTCGCTAGTCGCGGGCCCCCCTGGCTGTATCGGACCCCGTCGCCGTATAAGCGGATCGGGGCGCCGCCAGGCCCCCGCGGCCGCGCGCCGACCTCGTTCCCGACGTCACAGGGGCACATAACGTTTTTGAGTTTTTTTTTCGGCCTGGAACTCGGAACTCGGTGTCTAGAGCCCTGAGACTGGTTTTGTTGCCCCCGATGTGTGTTTAGTTTAGTTTAGGAAGCGGAGGAGGAGGGGGGGGAGGATGAGGAGGAGGAGGAGGATTGGAGGAGGATGAGGAGGAGGATAAGGATAATGATGCGGATGACGATGAGAATGATGACAATCATGCTGCTGACGACGATGATGCTGCTGCTGATACTGTTTATGATGATGTTCATGATGATTACGATGATGATGATGATGATGGTGATGATGCTGATGATGATGCTTATGATGATGACGATGTTGATGATGATGGTGCTGCTGATGGTAATGATCAATATGATGATGATGGTGTTGACGATGATGACGTAGATGACGATGGTGTTGCTGATGCTGATGATGATGATGCATATGATGGTGCTGGTGACAATGATGGTGATGACGATGATGATACTGATGATGATAATGGTGATGACGATGATTATGGTGATTATGATGATGATGCTTATGATGATGATCATGCTGATTACGATGACGATGATGATGATGGTGATGATGATGATGCTGATGATGATGATGTTGATGAAGATGATGCTGCTGATGGTAAGGATCATGATGATGATGATGGTGATGACGATGCTGACGTCGATGACGATGGTATTGCTGATGCTGATGATGATGCATATGATGTTGCTGGTGACAATGATGGTGATGACGATGATGATACTGATGATGATAATGGTGATGACGATGATGATGATGTTGATGATGATGATTATGCTCATGATGCTTATGATGATGATGATGATGATGGCGGTGATGGTGGTGATGATGATGATGATCGTGTTGATGATGCTGATGCTGATGATGATGATGCTGATGATGGTGGTGATGATGATGATGATGATGGTGATGGTGATGGTGATGGTGATGATGGTGATGATGATGAATTGGAAGAGGAGGAGGAGGAGGAGGAGGAGGAGGAGGAGGAGGAGGAGCTGCAGCAGCAGCAGCAGGAGGAGGAAGAGGAGGAGGACCACAAAGCCCGAGCACATGGGGAGATGAAGGAGGGGGAAGACCGTCAGGTAGGGCCGTGGGGGAAGGCGTCGGGTAGGGCGTCGGGAAAGGCGTCGGGTAGGGCGTCGGGAATGCCGTCGGGAATGCCGTTCGGAGGATAGTCGGGAAGGCCGTCGGGCAGGCAGCTGGGTAGGTTGTGGGAGTGCGGGGTAGGCTTTGGGAAGCGTGCCAGAAGCTTTTATAGGTGGCCCTGAGGGTACCCCAGGGTCGCCGAGGCGGCCCGGGTTGGCCACTAGACGACCCGCCTTCCTCCTCCGTCCTGTCCTTCCTTTTTACCTAACAGCGTAGACTGATAGGCGTCTAGTAGGATCAAAAGAGGGCAGCAGCTTACTCCACAGGGGGGTCTGGGCGGATGTCGGCGAGCTGCCGGGCGGACGCCGGGCGGACGAACCGGGCTCGTTTTTCGCCAACAGTCACACACTGCGTGCTCTTCGACCTCCCAGAACTCCATTCCCGGGCCACATTTTGAACAACCGGACGCAACAGTCACACACTTCGTGCTCTTCGAGTTCCCAGAGCACCATTCCCGGGCCACATTTTGAATGCCCGGAGCCAACTGTAGGCCACTTCGTGCTCTTCGATTTCCCAGAACGCCATTCCCGGGCCACATTCTGAATGCCCAGAGCCAACTGTAGGCCACTTCGTGCTCTTCGATTTCCCAGAACACCATTCCCGGGCCACATTCTGAATGCCCGGAGCCAACTGTAGGCCACTTCGTGCTCTTCGACTGCCCCGAACGCCATCGCCGAATGCCACTCCTGCCACTCCTGGCGCACATTTTGGATGCCCGGAGCCAACTGCACGCCACTTCCTGCTCTTCCACCTCCCAGAATTCCACTCCCGGGACGCATTGTGGAGAACACGCCATTGTAGTCGTAGTAGTACTCGTACGCCTCTCCTCCTCCTTCTACTCGCTCCTCCTTTTTCTTCTCTCATCGACGTCAGAACCCTTGCCTCCTATGACGTCAGTAGTAGTAGTAGTAGTAGTAGTAGTAGTAGTAGTATAGTAGTAGTAGTAGTAGTAGTAGTAGTAGTAGTAGTAGTAGTAGTCGTAGTAGTAGTCGTAGTAGTAGTCGTAGTAGTCGTAGTAATCGTAGTAGTAGTAGTAGTAGTCGTAGTAGTAGTAGTAGTAGTAGTAGTAGTAGTAGTAGGAGTAGGAGTAGTAGTAGTAGTAGTAGTAGTAGTAGTAGTAGTAGTAGTAGTAGTAGTAGTAGTAGTAGTCGTAGTAGTAGTAGTAGTAGTAGTAGTAGTAGTAGTAGTAGTAGTAGTAGTAGTAGTAGTAGTAGTAGTAGTAGTAGTAGTAGTAGTAGTTAGTAGTAGTAGTAGTAGTAGTAGTAGTAGTAGTAGTAGTAGTAGTAGTAGTAGTAGTAGTAGTAGTAGTAGTAGTAGTAGTAGTAGTAGTAGTAGTAGTAGTAGTAGTAGTAGTAGTAGTAGTAGTAGACCGAACAGCTTTTGCTGATAGCTTTCTAGTGGGATCAGAAGATAGCATATGGGCTCCTCATGTTCCTTGTTGCTTTTGCTAGCTGTCTTTGGCTTACAGAGTTTTTGCCACGGTATTCTTCTGTTGTGAAAAGGCGCCAGTCTCGCGATGGCATCTTCAGCGTCAGCTTCTCGTGGTGCTTCTCAGCCTGCGAACGAAAGCCGACAGGAGCCCGCGGTCGCCACTGGTCGCTGTGCTTCTCAGCCTGCGTCTTTCACGATCGCCTCCTTCAACTTCGGATTCGATCAGAATATGATGACTGGGAAAAGGGCCGGCACTCACTTCTCCAACTTTGCCCGCGTGTGCGCCACAATCGTCCAGGACGGTGATGCTGATCTGTCGTTTGCTTGCGAAGTCGGTGCGTCTCGGCAAGGCCTCAGCAAAGCGATGGCTGACGCGGCAGACATCCTGACGAAACCGTTTGGCGACAATGTCTGTTTCTCCGAGGTTGACAACTACCTATGCCTGTGGGGATTCGGCGGTGCTTCTCAGCCTGTCGACGTTTCCCTGCAGGGAGACAAGCATATCCATCACATCCCAATCGGGAGACATGTGGACGCGGCGATCACACGGTTCGATGTGCAAATAGAAGGCCATGGTAGAATTCATTTGATTACTGCCAACTTGCACATCGCTTGCGGAGCGAAGCCGCCGTCGGTGCTGACCAAACAACGCGCGGTCAGGCTCCTCCGACTCTACCTGGACAGCCTTCCAGGTCCGCAAGTGGACGCACCAGTTGTCCGCGCCATTGTCGGCGACAACAACCTGACGTCCACGCAGGCCCGCGTTGCTCTGCAGCGCCACACCGATGACGAGCAGTTGCGGGATGTGTTTGCGCATCCAAGTGATCGCCAAGGTGACGACGTGGCGGTCTCTGGGGCCACTGCGCAGTTCAAGCCCATCGCTGTTGGCGCATCGTACCAGGACCGCGGCATGCGCAACGATTCCCACGATGCTGTTGCAATCACCATTACTCTCCCTGGTGCTTCTCAGCCTAAGGAGACAAAGAAGCGGAAGATTGCCTTAGGAGATTTCGTCGTCTCCGATACTGCTTCAGACAAAGCCGAAACTGAAGTCGACTGGGAACCCTTGCCAAGCCGATCTCCTTCGCCAGAATGGCAACCCATGCCAAGCCGCTCGCCTTCGCCGCAGCGCAACGAGCTTGACGATGAAGTTCATCAGCGCGCGCAGGAAGTGCATCGTGAGATGAGGGAGTACTGGGGGCAGATGTACGAGGAGAGCTACGATCCCAAACTTCTCCATCAGCTCAGCCTTCTGCTTTTCATGAAGAGGGCAGACGCTGGTGCCCCTCAGCCTGGCGATGACTGCGACGCAGCCTATGCGTCGCAGGAAGAGACTGCTCGGGCCATTCAGGCTGTTCTGCGGATCCGCCGCGACTTCCTCCGAAGCAAGAACATTGCGAACATGCGCCTTGTCCTTGCTGAGGAGGAGCGCGGGGAACTTGTCAAACGTGCTCGAGAAGAGTACGGAAGTTCTGCCTTCCAGGTTCAGCTGCAGAACCGAGATGCCGAGAAAGGGAAAGCGAAGGGAACAACGTCAGCGCAGCAGGAACGCGGCGCTGATCAGCCTGCGAGCAAAGGCAAGGGAAAAGGCAAGGGCAAGGAACAAGGCATTGGCAGCCTCCGTAAGTTCATCAGAGAGCAAAAGCGCAAGCGATGGCGCCGGCATCTGCAACGCGTTTCCGGGACGAAGCAGATCTGGGAGGTCCTCGCCTTTTCCGGCCGCTTCGACGTTGACACGCTCAAGCGAGCTTTGCACGTCGAGCCCGGCGATGCACCCGCAGAGCTCGCCGATCGCAACCAGGTCTCTCAGGAAGAGCGCCGCCGCCTCCATCGTGACAAGGCGGAGGCCATTGCGCGCTACAACGAAGGTGAGCGGCTCTATCGCCATCGGCAAGAGGTGCAGCGTCGCGGCGCTAGTCAGCCTGCAGACGATGCCACTTTCACTCGCAGGCAATGGGATGTACTGCGGAAGTGGGAGAGCGGCGAGTTGCTCGAGAACCGCAATGCGGCGATTGTGGC